AAATTTATCTTCAAGGTCATTGAGTTTTCATTGCTTCACATCTACACCTTTGCCCTTTCCGTGTGCTGTCCATTTCTGCAATCTTAGTATTCTTCTCCTGGGTTTCTAAATGTGTACGTTTTGTATTGTTTCCAAATTTGTGTGTATTTTGTCTGTTTGTTCTTATAGTGTTTTCCTGAATTCTTCTAGTTTTTTTTCTGTGTTCTCCTTGCTTTTCTCGATCTTTCTGTCAATTTTTTTTAGGTACCTAAATAACATTTTTTTGAATTCTTCTTCAGTTAGTTCCATTACCTTTTCTTTGGTCTCTGCATATTGGTAATTTTTCTTTTGAGGCTTTCTCTCTTGTTTCATTATATGAGCTAAAATTGTCTTCTTGTCTCCAGGACATTGTGGTATTTATTGCTCTATTTGTATTTAATCGATGATTGCACCGGATGTATCCTTAAGCTCTGGTCACCTGTCTCCTGTGAGTGTAGTTAGAGAATGGAAGCATGTACTTTGTTCTTGTTTGCCGTTCATGCACCTTAGTTTTGGGTGGACTTGGCTGGTGTTGGCTGCAGTCTATCATGGATCAGGTGGTATCTGAGCTGGTACTGGCTCTTGCCCAGTGGGTGGAGCTGTAGAGGGCACAGTTGTGGCTGGGCTGTATGGGCATGGCTGCTATCTCCTGTCAAGTAGGAAAAAGAAAACACACACAGAAGAAAACAGAATAAACAAGCAACCAACAATGAAAAGAGAAAATAAGAAAAAATGAATAAAAACAGGTAGCAACCCCCCCTCCAAAAAAAAGAACGTAATAACAAAAAGAGAAAAGAGGGACAGAAAAATGGAGCTGTAGAAGAGGAAATAAAAAACAGAACACTTAGAAAAACCCAGGAGAGAGAAAACAAACAAGATGGCAGATCAGGTAGATGTGCAGTGAGAAGCTCCATCAGCAACAACACAGAATACCGGACCAAGTAGGCTCAGGGGATGGTCCCGGAACTCTGAACCACATATAAAGGAATACTTAGAAGGTTGGAAGGGTTATAGCTAGAGGAATTTGTAACAGAAGCAAGAAATCCAGTGCTTTCTAATTCATGACACTCAGCTGCTCCCAGAGCCACCATCTTGGGAGAGACCAAGGTGGGGGAAAGGATCAGAGCAGCCATGGATGCCTGACAGAACTGCAGAGATAAAGGTGTGGGCATTCCTTTTTTTTTTCGGTATCTGTTCATTGGCCTCTCACTGTCTGCGCACCTCCATTCTGGTGACTAGAGGGGGCGCCTGAGTGAGTGGACATCCCACCCCCAGAGGGTTCTACTATGCATGTGCACAGATCTCCTCGAAATTTAAAGTGACAGTTTCCACTTAAAACCAAATTGCCTCATCTGTCAGTATGTCACACTGTGGCTTGTGAGTTGCTGCGATTCTGGAAGCTATACCACCGGTATTTTAAACACCAGCAGGGTCACCCATGGTGGACAGGTTTCAGATGAGCTTCCAGACAAAGTCAGACTAGGAAGAAGGAGTGACAAACTACTTCCAAATTTAGTCACTGAAAACCTTATGAATAGCAAAGAAAAGAGAGTAGAGAGTAGTAAATAAAGGAAGAAGAGGGGAAATGAGGAACAGAAGGAAAATGAAAAGCAGAGCTACAAAGGATAAAATTCAAGGGGCTGGAAAGAGAAGAAGGAGAAGAAAGAATCAGCCAAACAATAAAACAGCTAAAGGAAAAAACCAAAATCCCCCAACAGTGCAGCTGTTGAACCCAAAGAGGAGAAAACTCTGGGGAGCTTCTGCTAGCCATGGGGCTCATGAGATGGGTTGGGAGGGGTGACAGCTGAGTTCCTGGCCCTAGATGGAGTTCCTGTTGGCCTTGGTGTTCTTGATTTTCAGGGCACTCAATCGGGAAGTAATTTGTGGAGGCTGGTTTCAGTATCTATTAGGACACATGGACACAGGGTGGCTGCTCATGAGGGTTTCTGGACAGCGTTGTATTCTTTCACCATACTTAGTCAACCTGTATGCTGAGCAAATAGTCTGAGAAGTTGGGTTGTATGAAGAAAAACATGGCATCAGGATTGGAGGAAGACTCCTTAACAACTTGCGATATATGCAGATGGTACAACCTTGCTTGCTGAAAGTGAAGAGGACTTAAAACATTTACTGATGAAGATCAAAGAGCACAGCCTTCGGTATGGATTCCATCTCAGTGTAAAGAAAACAAAAATCCTCACCACTGGACCATTAAACAACATTCTTATCAACGGAGAAAAGATTGAAGTTGTCAAGGACTTCATTCTTCTTGGATCAACCATCAGCACTCATGGAAGCAGCAGTCAAGAAATCAAATGACGTATTGCATTAGGCAGATCTGCTGCACAAGACCTTTTTAAAGTGTTGGAAAGCAAAGATGTCAGCTTGAGGACTAAGGTGCACCTGACCCAAGCCATGGTATTTTCAATAACTTCATATGCATGTGAAAGTTGGACAATAAATAAGGAAGACCATAGAAGAATTGATGCTTTTGAGTTATACTGGTGCTAAAGTAGAATATTGAAAGTGCCATGGACTGCCAAAAGAACCAACAGATCCGTGTTGGAAGAAGTGCAGCCAGAGCGCTCCTTGGAGGCCAAGGTGGCCAAACTTCATCTCTCATACTTTGGACGTATTGTCAGGAAGGACCAGTTGCTGGAGAAGGGTATCATATTTGGTAAGGTGGAGGGTCAGAGAAAAAGAGGAAGACCCCCAGTGAGATGGATTGGCCAAGTGGCTACATCAGTGTGCTCAAGAGTGGCAACAATAGTGAGGTTGGCCTAGGATTGGGCAGTGTTTCGTTCTGCTGTGCATAAGGTCGCTGAGTCGGTACCAACTCAATGGCACCTAACAACAATTCTGGTCTGATGGCTCTGTGGGTTCTGTAGGTCTAGAGCCAAGCCCACCTGAGCCCAGGCACCAAAACAGTGCAGCCAGCCCCTGCCTCATGGGGGCGTGGCTTCCAAAGACAGGGCTCCAACACCTGGAGAGCAGGATCTATGCTGTGGTGGGTAAGAGTGGGAGAGGCCACATGTCTGGTCACCAAGCATGGGGTGGGGGGGTAGTAAGGAATCAATGCACTTTCCAGTTGCCTTTGTGAATCTGCGCTGTCAGCGAAGCTGCTCACAAAAGTTCAACATGGCTGTGCCTCATCTGACTGGTCATTCACCAGTTACAATCTCCTCCCAGCAAGCCATCAGTCCACTTCTCTAACCTTTCCTCTGATGCTCAGGGTGCCAGGATTTTCATCTGTGTCTGTTTCCTTTGCTCTTTTGTATCTTTGCTAGAATCGACTCGATGGCACTTAACTACAATGACAGATCTTTGCTTTAGAGGGCCTGGGTAGTGCGTCTGCTAAGTCCGCCATTTTACCCAAAATCTCCTGTGTACAAGTTTCTAAGCTTCTGTTTCGTCTAAAGTGAAAATACAGGTGTTATGAGACTTAAATAGGAATGTGATTGGCTCGCCCAGCATCCAAAAGGTGGTGCCTCCTTCACCTGCCCACCCGCCTGTCCTCTCTCCAGGGCAACCAGGGAAGGCTCTGGGTCTGGAGCAGAGCAGCAAGATGGGCAGGGTTCCTGCCCTCGGGGCTCACATGGGAAGGGCGCTGGTGATGCAGAAATGAGAGTAAGAATGCCTAGATTGCAGTGTGTAGTGTAAAAACCACATCAGGGCAGTAGTGATGAGGGCTTACTTTAGGGTCTCAGGATCTAAGGTTGGGATAAAGGGAGAGTGGAGAGAGAGCACTGAGGGAGGGCAGATGGGCAGGCAGCTGGGGAGAGAGGCTTAGTGGCAAGAGGAGAGTAGGGTCTTTCTCTCCCTCCTTCCCCTCCCTCTGCCCTCACCTCTTTCTCGGTACCTTCTAGTAATCTTTGTGGGGCCCAGGGCAGGCACTGACCAGTGGTCAGTCATAGCCCCTGAAGAAGACAGAAGGGTGAATGAGCATGCGTCTCTTTCCACCTCCCTTCAGTTTCCTGGAGGCCTGTTTTTCTGCTCCACCAGTCCCAGACCCCCAGCACAAAGGGGTTCTGTCCAGCATGGAATCAGGAGGTCTCAGGACTAACCCCTGAAGGAACCCAGGTGGCACAGTGGTCAAGTGCTTGGCTGCTAACCAGAAGGTTGGGGGTTCGCACCTACCGGCGGCTCCTTGGGAGACAGGTGTGGCAGTCTGCTCTGCCCTGTCAGGTGGCTGTGAATTGGAATTGATTCCACAGCGGTGGGTTTGGTGTTTTGTTCTGGTTTGTGTGGGGACTCACCCTTGCCTCGACCTCCTTTCCTCTCCAATATAAGCTTGTTTTTTTAATGACACTACTGACACTAAGCAAGAGAATGTCAGATGACTTTTGTAGCCCGTGTACCTATTGTGTCTGACGCTTGCTTTCAAGAAAACATCGGAGCTAAAATTATCCCTGAGCTAGAAGTGCCATAAATAAGAGAAAGCTGCAGGTCAGCCTCTGCCCCACTTAGGCCCCAGCCCCCCAGCTTGGTGGTGGCCGTCTTGGCTGGCCCGGCATGTGTGCACACACCTTTTCCTCACACAGTTGTCTGTCTCTCTGCTTCCTGTTGTTAAGTACCTGTGAGTTGCTTCCGACTCATAGTGCTCCTGTATAGGGTTTCTAAAGAGCAGCTGGTAAATTTGAACTGCTGACCTTGTAGTTGGAACTGACCTTGAGGTCCAGTGCTCTCTCCCACAGTGCCACACCAGGACTCCTCCTGCCTCCTGAGATTTGTCTGTCCTGTTCCTGACCGGTGTGGGCCTCTCTCCTCTCTGAGCTTTGTTCTCAGATCGCCTGGTTGTCCGCTCTCGGAACACTAGTTCTGGGGGTGGACAAGAGAATCTCAGGGCCTTGCCGGCTGCCCCGCACAGTTGGGCACTGAGGACAGAGCTGACCTCTCCGCTGCCTCTCCCTTTTCCAGCAGCCCCAACAGCCCTTACGGGGATGTGATCGGCCTCCAGGTGGACTACTGGCTGGGCCACCCGGGTGAGCGGAGGCGGGACGGCGACAAGAGGGACGCAAGCTCCAAGAATACCCTCAAGAGTGTCTTCCTCTCGGTGCAGGTGTCCCGCCTGCCCCATGGCGGTGAGGCCCAGCTTTCTGGCACCATGGCCATGACTGTGGTCACCAAAGAGAAGAACAAGAAAGGTCAGTGGCTTATGAGGCCTGGGCCCCTCCATCTCCTCACGCCAGCACGTCCCACTGCACCTGTGAGACCACACATGGTCTGTCGTCTAGCACTTGAAGGAAACCAAGGCCTCAGCTCTGAGCGAGGGAGGGAAACCCAGGTCCTGGAGCAGAGCATCAGCACTCAGCCCTGGAGGCCAGTCCGGAGGGACCAGCAGTCAGTCCCTCCGTATAAGGTGCTGAGGTAGAAGCAGGGTGGCCCTGGAAGGGGGAGATCTGACGGCTGGCTAGGGTGAGTCACCGCCTCCCTGTCAGCCCAGCCGTGTGCCTGCAGGGGTAGCCTCAGTCTGCCCAGCTGTCAGGAGGCGGCTACCTCTCGCTGGACCCTGCCTCCTCGGGCACTGCTCTGATAGGTGCCCTTCCAGGACTAGCCTGGGCCCCTCCTTTCTAGAGCAGCGGGGAGATGTGGAGGTTTCCTCCAGGCAGACACCACCACACACAGGCCACCTGGCTTCACAGGTGGCCTGGAACATTTGAGCTGAAAGGACTCAGACCATCTGGCCCCAGGTCCTCATTGGACAGATGACAATAGATAGCAAGGCTGGGGAGTGAAATCCTTGCCAAAGTCAGGAACCCTGAGCTCCCACCCCACTGCTCATTGAGACACTCACTGTCTTGGAGCTTTCTGCAGATGCCTCCCAGATGAAGCCATCCTGGGTACCCCTTCCTGGAGAAATGTAACCGGGGAGCAGGGAGGGATCCAGGAGGACGGGGAGGGTGTGCTTCCAGGGTCGACTCAGAGGCAGACCTGTTTGCTTTCCAGTTCCCACCATCTTCCTGAGCAAGAAGCCTCGAGAGAAGGAGGTGGACTCAAAGAGCCAGGTCATCGAGGGCATCAGCCGCCTCATCTGCTCCGCCAAGCAGCAGCAGACCATGCTGAGAGGTGGGGCGAGTGGGCTGGCTGACTCAGGGAGGTGGGGGACAAGGACTGGGGCAGAGGTCTTCCTGACTCTGTGTTTGAGGGGAGAGTGGCTACAGCATCCTTGGTCATCCTGCCCTGTCCCCCCAGTATCCATCGATGGAGTCGAGTGGAGTGACATCAAGTTCTTCCAGCTGGCTGCGCAGTGGCCCACCCATGTCAAGCACTTTCCAGTGGGACTGTTCAGTGCTAGCAAGACCACCTGAGAGTGCTGCCCTGGCTCCTCACCCTCCTGGCACTGCCACCAGCCTTGCCACCTTGCAGGCAGGGGAGGCGCAGGCTGGGTCCCAACACCCCTGTCCTGATGCTGGGGCCTGCGTTTCACTTCTGAAGGACACTGCCACCGGAGACGCCCTTCCTGCCTCTCCCTCCTGCGCCAGGCCAAGTCAGGTCCATTTTGCCTTCTGGCACCTGTCAGGTCCTGGGCGCCATCCGGTTCTCTTTCCCTTCCCACCCTTCCCTCATGGGGCTCCAGCACCTTCCTGGAAATAGGAAAGCTGGCCTCCTCGGCCACAGCAGGTGGGCCCGACCACCTTCCAGTCCCCGAGTCACCTGCCTCCTTCATAGGAGCCCACTGGGCAGCAGCAGCCATCTGCCCCGAGCTGGGGCCTCTTCCCACTTCCCCCTGACCCCAAAGCTGACTGGAGATGGGAAGGATACCCAGTGCTCAGCTCACAGGGGCAGGAAGCAGCTCCCACCCAGCCTCTCTCTAGGACAATGTTTCTGTAGTGACAGGTACATGTCTGGGACAGGGACCTCCCCAGTTCCCGCCATGCACGGCTCTTTCCACCCTGGCCTCTCTGTATGTGTCATGTGTATCCTTGAGTTTTGGTTGTCTGTCTGCAGAGCTGCTGTCTAGGCTGTCTTGGTTGTTCCATGTGGCTCCTCTGCCCTCTGTTGCTAACCCTAACCCTCCTCCTGCCCCTCTGGACCCACATTTTGTCTGTGCTCCTGCCACCTGGCCTGTAATCTCCCTTAGCCCCTGTCAGTGTGTCGCCCTCCCTCTCTGTTCTTCCTCGGCCTCACTCCCTGGGCCCCTGACCCGAGACCCCCACCTGCAGCCTGGCCTCCTGCAGGGCTCAGGAGACCCCCTCACTGCAGATACGGCCAAGCCGCTTCTCTGCCTCCACCATCAGTGGAGACAGGAGCAGCCCGGCCTCCAAAGTGGTCCTGGTGCCCTTCTTCCAGAGGGTTTTCACAGAACTCCATTTGGAAAGGTCTTTTCTCATTGTCATACCTCCCAGCTGCTCTCAGCCCGTCCCCAGCTTGGGCTCTGCTGCTCTCTGGGGGATTGAACGGGGCCTGGGTTGATGTTGGGTTTTTCATTCAATAAACCAGTGATTTCTTACCACCTGCCTTGGGTGCTTACTGGGACCCTGAATCTGTGGGGTTGGACCTTCTGGGAAGTTCACTGCCACTCCTCCTTTCCCCGCCTCCTAGATGATGGGTGTCCTGCCACACAGCACCCAAAGAGGTGGCAGCATAGCATGGTGCCACCACCCTGCAGGACACAACCACGGAGTAGAAGGCCAAGGAAGGTGGCACTGAGGAGGTTCTGGGACTAAGGGTTAAGGGGCTAGCCAGCAACCAGGAAGTGCTATGTAGTGTGCCGCTGCCAGAGCAAGATGGACAGGCTGGTGAGTGTCCTGTGAGGTGACCCACAAGAGACTCTTGAGACTGAGACTAGAAGTCCTCCCAGAGCCGTTGGGAGAGCATGTCCCACAGGGTCACTGGCAACTGTGGGAGCCCCGAGTGGAGAGGGGCACGGGCCACATGGACTCAGAACTGCGTCCTCCACCCCAACACCTCACCTCTTAGCTTCTGGCTCAGAAGGTAGAAGAGAGGGAGAGCCCACCGCTCCTGCACCTCCCACCTCCACCGTCCTCTCCCAGGTCTTTCTACCACAAACATGCAGGAATCACAACAAAAAAACAACTTCTCTCCTTAAAGCCAAACTCTTCAAAGAGTAGCTTGTGTCTCTGTTTCCATTTCCTCCACCACCATGGCCTTCCAGGTGTTTTCCTCACAAGCCACGGCACCAGTGAGCCAGCCGGCCGTCATCAGCACTGCCTCCTGGAGCAATGCCCTTCCCTTACGGGCACTGCTCTCGGCTTTGCTCAGTCCCAGAGTGGCCCTACTCAGTCCCATGGGTGGATGCTCATGGGGTCAGACTGCCCCCCTAGAAAATGGCTGCTCCCTTATGCAGTTGCTGAAGCAAAAACTGGGGTCATCCTTGCCTCCTCCCTGAGCCCAGCATCCAAAGTCTCCGCACAGGACTCAAGGCCTTCCTGCCTGTCACCTGTCCACTCCCGGTCTCCTCTCCTGTAGTCATTCTCCACCTACGAGCCAGAGAGCCCTTTTCAAAAGGTGGGTTAATGTGCTGGACTGTAAAGTCGGTTTGAACCACAAGGGCGGCGGTTCAAGCTCACCAGCTGCTCCTGAGAAACCCTATACAGGGTCACTATGGGTCAGAAGTGACTCAACGGCACTTAAGAGAGCAAAGCAGAGCTATCTGATCGGGTTGACAAAGACGGAAGAAACCCTGACAAACTGCAGAGCCAGAAGGGTGTGCAGGGATCACCGTGGTAAACACAAAGGCATTCCCTTCAAGAGCACCGTGGACAACTCCACGAGCACACAGTGCGCCAACCGCAAGCACAACTTCACCTTGAAGGCACGCAGCACCCTGTGAGAAATTGACCCCCAGAATGACCTCACCTTCTTTCGAATTCGCTCCAAGGAAAATGAAATTATGGTTGCACCAGCTAAACACTTGCCTGTTGTGACTCAGAATTGAACTGAAGAAGCCACTCTCTCGGCTCGGCTCCCTGATTTTTTCCTTAATTATAGCCCCCCAAGAAGAACAGTTCATCATGCCAACCCAACCCAAGTGGAAATCACCTAAGAGCCTACTTGCACCAACCTAGAAATCAAGGATGGGCTGGTGCCCCAACCACCCCACCAAAGGAGTCCCTCTGCGGCACCAGCCCCCTCCAAGTTCTCGGCCAGGGGCCTCCTCCCTCCACGAAGTCCCTCTCTGATCACTTCTAGGGTCTGGAGACCAAACCCAGCTTCCTCCTGACCTTCAGTTCACTTGTTGCCCTTGGGAAAGACTGGTTTACTCTGTAACTAAAAAATAACATCACCCTCCGCCCCCCAAAAAATTAACTGACCCTGTAAAGTGCTCCCTAGGAATAGAACCCCAGACTTACATCATAACCTACAAGGTCCTGCCTGATCTGGCCTCCCTGACAGGCCTCTGATCTTATGGCCCCTCACTCAAACACCCCAGGCACATTCTGCCTCCGGATGAGCCATTCTGCTGCCCATCTACTCCTGTCTCCAGACCCACGGGGCTTGTTTCCTCATTCAAGTCTTGGCTTAAATGTCACCTTCTCAGAAAGGTCTTCCCCGTTCAAACTGTTGAAAACAACACCTTCCTTTTTTCTTAGCCTGTTTTGCTTTCTTATTTGCACTTCTCACTCCTTGACATTTAATTAGTCATTGTTTATCACTCCCCAGTAGAATGTAAGCACCAAAAAGAACCGGGACATACTTTTCTCCCCTGCTCTATTCTCAGCACAGTGCTGGTGGTACAGTTGGTTAAGCATTGCACTGCTTAACCTCAAGGTCAGTGGTTTCAACCCACCAATTGCTTTGAGGAAGAAAGATGAGGCAGTTTCCGTAAAGAGTGTTGTGTTGTGAAGTGCCATCAAATCCATTCCAACCCATAGCAACCCTGTAGAAGGTTTCTGAGAAGCAGCTGGTGGGCTTGAACTGCCAACCTTGCAGTGCAAACTGTTGTTGTGTTGTGAAGTGCCATCGAGTCGGTTCTAACCTATAGCGACCTTGTATAGGGTTCCTGAGAAGCAGCTGGTGAGCTTGAACCGCCAACCTTGCAGTTCAAATGGCTTTGCAGTCTGGCACATTAACTTGCAGCACCACCCCAGGACTCCAGGTCTTGGAAACACTCTAGGAGAGTTCTCTCTCCTACAGGGTGGCTATGCGTCAGAGTAGATTTGATGGCAGTGGGTCTGGGTTTGGTTCTTCATCTTTAGCTTCCAGTTCTGAGTGCTTGGCTCATGATATAAATAAGTAGACATTGCCATTACCCCTGAAATTCTTGCCTTGAGATAATTTTTAAACCTTAAGCCAAAATTATCCCCTGAAGTCTTCTTCAAACTGAACAGTACTTTAGTTTACCTGTTACTGTTATGTGTTGTCAACTGGATTCTGACTCATAACAACCCTATACAGAGCAGCTGGTGGGCTTGAACTTCTGGTACCCTACGGCACCACACCAGGACACCAAAGGTGTATTTATATGTGATCAAATTGACAGTCCGCCTACTGCCATCAAGTCGATTCCGAGGCCTAGAAACCCCGTAGGACAGAGTAGAACTGCTCCGTAGACGTTCAAGGCTGTAAGTCTTTATAGGACTAGAAAGCCCCATCTTTCTCCCATGGAGCAACTGGTCAGCTAGTGGATTTCAACTGCCTACCTTGTGGTCGTATATCTCTCATACTTCAGACATATTGCCAGGAGGGACCAGTCACTGGAGAAGGATATGTTTGGTAAGGTGGAGGGTCCACGGAAAAGAGGAAGACCCCCAACGAGATGGATTGGCCACGTGGCAGCATCGATGGACTCAAGCGTGGCAACAGTAGTGAGGTTGGCCCAGGATCGGGCAGTGTTTCATTCTGCTGTGCATAAGGTCGCTATGGGTTGGTACCGACTCGATGGCACCTAACAACAACAACCTTGTGGTTAGCAGCCCAGTGCTTAACCCACTAAGCCACCAGGGCTCCTAAGTTGACAATAGCAACTGAAAACATTCAATAGGAACCTTATGAGGCAGTGAGTTTATGTTAATGGGGAGGAGGAGCATGGTACACAACTCCATGTCCTCAATGTCACTACGAGATGGACCGACACAGTGATAAACCTGGCGGTTAAGAGGATGACTCAGAGCTCGGCAGTGTCATTCTGTCATACGTGGGGTCACTATGACTCTGAGCCAACTCGAAGGCACCTCCCAACAGTGAATGTGTTCCTGTGCATATTCTCATTAATGACAGAATAACATTTAAAGGGACTAGAAAAGCATTGCTGGTGAGTTCATTCTGACACATGGTCACTCCATGTGTTACAGAGTTAAACTGTTTCCTAGGGTTTTCTTGGTTGTACTCTGGATAAGCACTGGAC